GTGTGTGTGTGTGTGTGTGTGTGTGTGTGTGTGTGTGTGTGTGTGTGTGTGCGCGTGTGTGTGTATGCATTGACACACCAAATCATTGTGCCATTAGATGGTAAAAATCAAACGTATCTCATCTATTATTTCTCACCTATTTTATCCAATCCGTTTAATCTGATCAATTATAGCTGATCTATTTTAATTCTTCTATATTATCCCATGCTTTTATTTTATCCAGTTTTCCTCATCTATTTTGTTCCATATTTTTATCTCTTCTATTTCACCCCATCCATGTTATGAATTTATTTATTGCATCTGTTTTATCCTATATTTTTATCTCAGCTATTTCTTTTCATCTATTTAGTCACATCTATTTTATCTAATCTATTTCTTCTCATCTATTTCATTTCATCTATTTTATCTCATCTATTTAATCTCATCAATGTTATTTATTTATTTTATCTCATCTATTTTGTCCCATATTTTTATCTGATCTATTTCATCTCATATATTTTACCTGATCTATTTTATCCCATATTTTTATCTCATCTATTTTACCTAATATATTTTATCCCATTTTTTATCACATCTATTTCGTCTCATCAATGTTATTTATTTATTTCATCTTATCTGTTTAATCCCATATTTTTTTCTCATCTATTTCATCTCATCTATTTCATCTCATCTATTTCATCTCACCTATTTTGCCTCATCTACTTTACCTCATCAATTATTTTATCTAATCTACTTTACATCATCTATTTAATCTCATCAATGTTATCTATTTATTTTATCTCATCTGTTTTATCCCATATTTTTATCTCATCTATTTCATCTCATCTATTTTACCTAATCTACTTCAACTCATCTACTTCACCTCATCTACTTCACCTCATCTCCCCCCCCCCCCTCTAACCAGGGACGTTCCCGAAGGCATGACCAAAATGGAGACAAGGACCGATGGTGCGACCTTGATCTTTGACCCTGTGACCGCTGGTGACGCAGGCCTGTACTCCTGCCAGGTGGAGTTCAGGGGCATGACCTTCACGGGGTACCAAACCTACGTCATGCAATGTAAGTCCAGAGAGGGTGGAGGGCAGGGGCCGCTCTGGTTTGTAGAACTGCGGCCGGCTCGAAAGCCCATTCATACATC